TTTTTATTACTTTTTTCGCTAACGGATTTTAAAATGCTACTAAAATCAATCTTATTTGCAGTGGGACCAGTGAAAACGTTGGCAGGGCAAGTGCAAATCTGATCGACTGGGACACCACCAACCAAAAAATAAAAAAATAAAAAGAGAAAAATCTTTATTGTTGATCCCTGCGTTATCTTTGCCAAATCTACAATCCAGCTCCATGAGCAGCCAATGACAAACATTGAACACAGCCTGAGTACAGCTGTCTGATGTCATTCTTTACTCTTCGAAAATACAGCTTATGTGTTAGTGCAAAGTACTACTCTAGAAATATCAGTCGAAATGGCTGATGTCGCACTGGACAGGTTCCACGCCTCCCCCTGCGGCACCAAACCTTGAGACCAGCTGACTAAAGAAACACTGTGAGATTTTTACAGCGATTTAACGCAACATTAACAGGTGCACATACACACAGACACTAATGAGAGAGTGCCGGATCTCGTGGTCCGCAGTAATCCTGGTATGTCTGGTAGAGACCACCCGAAATTTACATTGAAATACAACGTTCAAAGGTCTAGTTTTTTTCTTTGTCTTTCCCAGGTTCACAACCCAATCCGTTCTTTCTCTACCTTATTCCTTTTCTTTCTTTTCCCACATGCATCAACTCACTCACATATGCATGCTCTGATCAATACTCTTTGGGTCTTTGTTTTGCCAGATCGATTTAGGGTAATGAAGTCCATGTGACTAAATCCTACACGGAAAAAGAGAGAAGGATTGTCAAGCTCAGAGGTTTGACCGTATGCGGATCAGGGGTTGAGGCTTTAGAGAGGTTAGGTTTTATTCTCATCCCTTCTTCTTTACCTCTTTAACATAGACTACCTCTCCACAGGGTCATTAATTAAGCACGTCCGTCCTCCTGTTACGTAAAGAATTGTGAAGATGTGTGTGTGTGTGTGTACATTTCTCCAGCCTTAAAGAGATAGTTCACCTAAAAGTGAAAATCCTGTCACCATTAATTCACCCTCATGTAGTTCCAAACCTGTATGCGTTTCATTCTTCTTCAGATCCATTGACTTTTAATGCCACAAACATTTTTTTGTGTGTGTGTGTGTTCCACAAAAAAATAAAAGAGTGATTTAGTTTTCTTTTTTGGGTGAAGCATCTCTTTAAATGAAGAAAGAAAGCGCAGTTGTTGGCGATGTGATCTTTAAAAACTATGACAGCAAAGGCCAAACTGGGTGACTCGCGCTGTCACTCAAGTAAAAGGGGTGAATTAGGACTGAACAGCACTCTGGCACTCTGATTTTTGTGGTGAACTAAGTAGAGAACAACCCATTCCCGTAAATCTTCCTCTCAGCCGGGGTTTTATGTTTTTGGTGTCCTTTTTTTTTCTTGGTTAATTAAAAATGTCAGCTCATTATCACATGTATATGAACACAACAAAGAATTTTGGTGGCTGAACAAATAAGACAATGGCACGCTTGGTAATCTTTAGACAGCTCATTAGGTACTTCATATTAAATTTAAAAACACTGAAAGGACAAAGCACCAGGAGTGCCCACCCCCCTCTCTCCCAGTTTTTTCACTCTCAGCCCTTGTTCTCTGTTTTCCCGTAACAGTTCTTTAATTCCACCTCAGTCAGCCCATTGAGGGGCAGTGAACCGCATGCTGATGACCTCACTGCCGCACTCTTATTGGTCAATCTCAGTGACCAACAGCCCCAACATGGGCCAGACAAAAAAGCCACTCTGTCTCTGTCACACTCTCTCCCCCTCTCTGTGTTGACTCATTAATGTTTTTCAGCTCTTTTCTTTTACTTGTTCACGGAAAACAGGCAGAGCGGAAAGTTGCGTTTTGTTCGCTCTGATCGGAAGAGTTCAAAAACAAACACCGCCTTCTGGCTTGGTGTGATCTGTGCGCTACAATACGGTAATCACCTCTCACCCACCGCATCTTCCTCTGATCATTTGCTCTCTCCTGTTTTAAAACCGATCAAACAAGGTACAAAACGAGTTCCTGTGAACATACTCAGGGGTTAAAAGGAGCTTGAGTAAGGTAATTCATGTGGAAAAAAAGTTACAAAAAGACTCCTCCAAGTTAAACAAGTTAGTCTTAAACTCCAAAGCGTTATCTCTGTTCAGAAGAGATAGGAGATGATATGAGGAAGAGAAAAACAGATGAGAGCTTGAGAAGAGGCTTGGGAGACCTAAAAGGGAAAAAATAGTTTACTGGCATGTAGGGCTGTGCAACACCATGAATATTCATGATTTTTTTTTTTCTCCAATGGATGAATATTTCCATGGATAACACAATGATTTTCCTAAAAGAAAAAGTGAATGTGACTATTTAAAAAGTGAATTTCCATGAATCAGTTCAAACTGTCCATTCAATATATATAAGACAATAATAAGAAACGTTTCTTGAGCATCAAATCAGCATATTGGAATGATTTTTGTAGAATCATGTGATACTAATGATGCTGAAAATTCAGCTTTGCCATCACATGTAAATAGTTTACATTTTACACTATATATTAAAATGTAAAACAGTTATTTAAATTTGCAACTTATTGTTTTTAGTGTATCTTTGAACAAAATAAATGTAGCTTTAGTGAGCATATAAGAACTCTAAACGTTATTATTAACTATAATGTAATAAATGTGTATATGTAAATATTGCTGATTACTACTATCCATATTTGTGTGTACAAATGAAAATGAGTAGGCCTTAATAACTCACTTGAGTTCATTTAATGCAAAATAAGTAGGGAAAAACATGCCCTGATTTTTTTCTTACTTAGCAACAATGGCTGTTTTCAATTGTATAAATATATATATACACATGATAAATAGTCAAGAGGGAAAAAAGTACTTCTGTTTTACTTTTATTATCGACATTTCCAGGAAGGAAATTAAAATCCTTCAGAGCAGCAAAGACTGCATAAACACATTTTTTGGGGTACGAATCACCAAGTGGGCTCAGTGAGACAGCACTAACTGTAAATTCCTCTGCCCCACTTAAAAAGAAAAGGAGGGACCGAGGGGGAGAGAGAGTGAAAGAGAGGCTGCAGGGGAGAAGAGAAAGTCTTCATTCCTAAGTCATTTGCCTAAAAAGGACGTGATGAATGAATGTCAGCGACACAAAACATCCACCTCATGTTTAACAAGAGACTCACCCAGTCCTCGCTCAGGAGGGGTGAGATGGAGAAAGAGTGAAGGGGGAGGGAGGAAGATAGAAAGCAAAATTCTTGTGTCCACTGGTGAAAGGCACTGTGCGTAACAGAGTTCACATTGACTTGCTAACCGTACAGGCCGGAATGGAAATGAAACAAGAGCCGCTTTTGTGTTTGTGTGGTCAATGCGATACAGCTCACCTTTCTACTGAAAAGGACAAAGGAAGTGAATCAGTGAGTCAACTGTGAGATCAAATGACCGGTCTATGTGAACGCAACACAACTCGGCCATCAGCAGTTCCTGACTCACGCTCACACACTTGGGAAATTCCTCGGGGTGTGATATGTCGACTCTCAGTGTGAAATTTAAAGCTGGTGTTATCACTTTTATTGTAATTGTCACAGGTCTGTGCGTGTGTTTGTCCCACAGTTCACAAATAGACCTCAACAGGCACAAAGCTACAGCTTGCAACCGTCTGTTCGTATTCCGCAACCCGCCCTTCCACGGTAACCCATGAATAAGTCAACGATATGGAAATGTAAAAAGAATATGTCACTTTTTAGAAGTCAAGTAATACACAAGTAAAAAAGAACAACTCCCAGACTCTTTGGGACAAAAATATTTTGCTTAGTGATACAACCAAAACTATTCTCCCGACACAGCAAAAAAAAAAATAAAAAAAATCCATTTTCGGATTCGGCCAAAATAGTTTTTGAGGGACTAAACATTTAATTAGACGCTTTTTGACTGTTTCAGCATTTGACATATTTCATCCACACAACTATAATCTCTAAATATATGGATAAGCTATCACAGGTAAACAAGTAGGCAGTGTGGATGCACTTTACCACGACTGAAAAATGATGCCAGAGAAGCAATATGTCAAATTTATTCGGCTGAAATATTGCAGGGAGGCTCTACAATGACGGGTTTAATCAACAACATTCCAAATTCAGTTACTCTCATTTTAGGCGAAATGAAAACTAATTTTGGTAACACTTTATTTTGACATTAGTACTTACTATAGTAATAACAATAAATTATGAATAATTACAAGTAACTAACCAAAACCATACCCAAACCTAATATTACTCATTACTTATTTGAGTAAGTAAAATGTACGACACCTTAAAATAAAGTGTTTTTGGTGTTTCAGCAACAAACAAATACAATTTGGTGCATCACTAATTTTGCTATAAAATATTTAGACTGAATTATGAGCCATAGCTGTAACTGGTGGATTAGATTTGTTTATCTACTGGAAATGTAAAACATGTTGTTATGGCCTTTTTTACGACATCATAATTAAACAGGACGCAGGGATGTTATAAGGCCAAGTTTACAACCGCAGCACAAATGTGGCCCCTGCCGGATTGGCAGATTGTATTGAGATGGCTGACTGGGATCTGTGCCATCGACTGACTGCATGGATACGGACTGGTCTAATCAATGCTATCGATCACAACAGGGGGGGTTTCAACCACGGCGGAGGAGGGTGATTCAGCCCCCCCAAATATTTCACACTGTGACCCTTCAAAACACATTCCACCAAAACACTGAGCTCCCTCTCAAGCTCATTTCTTTCACTCACACATATATCCCCCTCTATAAACACCCCCTGCTAAATCAACCCTAACACTTAACCCCTCCCCCTTCTCGTTCTTCACATACACACATAAAGCACACCCTTCCCCCATCCTCCCCTCTCTCTTTCTCTTCCCAACAGAATCAGGGTGGAAACCGAAGCATGGTGAGGGAGCGTTTTGCTGCACATGTTCGAACTGTGTGTTTTTTTTTTTTTTTTTTTATGACAATAAATGCAAAGAAAACATCATTGTTTACCTTTAAGAAGAAATTGTCCCTCGGTGATGACGTCGGCAGTCATGACGTTGTACTCGTTCTCTGTGAAGCCTGGTTGACATGGCATTGCCCCTGTGCCCTGGACTGCCACCTGCCAAAAAACACAAAAGCACCAGACAAATTAATCCCCCGATTAATGGTGATTCATAAACAGCAAGAGCCAACCTCCACCGCGGCGGGAGCCAAATATCCAGAATCCCGAGAGGAATCGATGGACATAACGATCACGCTCTTTCACCATAAACAGAGGAAATGAGGCAGAACTCACCTCAAGAAAAGCACAGCAATGAGACTTTCCAGACCCGCCGAGTCCATCGATCAAGCTCCAAATGAACTCTTTAAATTAGCAATGCTATTGTATTTTTCACCGATTACTCGCTAATTTGGAGCAGATCGGCGAAATTAAATAAGGTTCAATGCATGACGATTTACCGGGGTGCTTTTCTATTATGCCATTTTTCTTCATTCTGCTTTCCCCAAAGGATAGCGAGGGGTTTCTTTCTATCTCCCCTCCTCCCCCCCTCCGGCACCAGGGCATCTGTTATTTTGAGGTGGGTGTAATTAGACTGATGAGGTCAGGAGGGTGAGACGTTAGAAAAGCAGAGCTGACCAGGCTACGCATACTCTGCCTTGAATGGCGTGGTCTGGTGGAGCACTTATCGCATAAAAACACAAACACACACTTGTGCAGCTGCCGTAAGCACTCCGGCGACAAGTCACAAACCCATTCTTTATGGCTTACGTTTAAAACAGGCACGCACACCTAGCCTTTAACAGCCAGGACAAAGACTTATTCATACTTGACTGGTCTTATGAGAAAATAAACCACCAGCATTGAGTCATTAGCATGAGCTGATATGACACACAAAGTCTGAATCTAAGTGTAAGCAAATTTGGCTTTTAATGGATGCTTGAGAAGATCAAAGGTGATGTCCACTGTGAAACAGCCTCTTTGTGTTGGAATAAGATCAGAGGCTTGAAGAAGATGGCTGGCTGTGTTTGTTAATGGCCCCATAGTCAATTCATCAAACATGTTAATTACTTGTTAGCTCGGTTGATGCCGACTTAATGCCCTACACACAACGGCCAATCAAGCATTTGCTTTTATGCTAACAAAATCATCATCAACCGTGAGCTATAACTGCTCAGTTTTTTTAATGTCGTCATCTGGCGCTGCCTGATGTATCTGCAGAGCCCCTATATAAAGCTGGCACTACATGGGGTGTGTTTGAAAATCTGACTTTAAACTGTCCTGTCAGCAATTGCTTAGCAATATGCTGCCTCTGCACATCCACACAGAGCGAATGATTCTAGATGGAGCCGCACCAGCAGCCCTGCTGACATGAAGAATCAGAGGCAGCACACGCTATAAAGCCAATGGTGATCATGTAAAGACACTGTCAGTATAGGACTTTATAGTACCTGAGATAAATTACCTAAATAAACCTCTTTAAAATGTGCAGTGATTGGTTTTAGTTTGTTTGTTTTGCAAAGAATTAGAATCGCTTTTAGAAGCGATTCTTTTACGTCACCACTTGGTTCTTGACATAGCAGCGTGGTATTAAGCTCGAAACATTCGTGTAACATTCGTTTTTTTTCATAACTCATAAGTCTGTTTATTACAAGTTTATGTCTTGAGTTTGCTGCAGTCATGATTCAAAACATTTAGAACCAAACTATACTTTTTATTTAACTATACAAACATCATTCGTATCTATTAGCTGAAAACGTCTATAAAACAATGCTATTTTAACCAATTCTGTTTGTGAATTTACTAAACTGTCATTTAATTAATTCTTAAACATCTTTTCAGTCCTTTTAATTTTTTAACAGGATCGTGAAGATTCAATAAATCATTCAGTTGGTCGCTTCAGAACAATTCAGCTCAGTTCGCTCACGGAATCGGTTCAAATGATACACTTGAAAGATACGACTCAAATGAATGATTCGTTCACCGAACGGACATCGCTATAAAACATTAGAGGGGTTTTAAGCATGTGGGACCGTTATAACACGCACACAAACAACAGTAAAATGCGACATTGATGTTAAACTTTAGATAATACATTTACGAGGTCAGGACTGCTACTTCTGCTCCTGCAGACCACAAATACAATAAAAAACATTGAAACCCGGACCAAATGGCTCATGGCCAAATGTTAACTTTATTGCCATGCAGAATTCAAGCGTTTGGATCCATCATAACTTAACAATTTGCTGTAGTAATTCTTAATTTGAGTGTGATGGAACTATAGCCTACACGACATTCAAAATTGTATTAATTCTGCTGGACTCTGCAATTTCAGCAATTCCCTGACAGCACGACTCATTTCACCGCTCGATGATTCGGGTCAGAGTGATTTGTCATATTTGGGTTACGCACAGACCCGTTGTTCGCCGTGAGATTTCGCATCTAAAAAAGACCGAGTCCGCGAAAGAGGACAGTCGCCTCGCGGCCGCCTAATAGGCTGCTCATTAACTGATTATTGTAACATTTGTCTCATCATTCGGAAACGGACCATTGTGACCTAATCACCTCCCCGAGGGCAACTTTTCAATCTCGTGCCAAAAGAAGCATAAGCGCGTTTGAAAACCCGCATTCAACTGCGACTGGCTCCGGTTCAGCACGGGACGGTTTGAACGGGGCTGCTAGTACAATCCAACGGCTATACAACATAGAAAAAAACATCGCACACGGAGTCTAAACCTCTTGTGAATAACTGGGGGGCACGGATAACAGAATAAAGACTATCTAGAATTGCATTCGAAGAAAATTAGATGCGACATTAAGTCTTTAACCCTTCGAGACCATCAGAAAACCGTTAGTATCGAATTTGATCTAACGTAGGCACTGACGCCCTTAAATATTCTGGCACTAACATAAAGCGTTCATTTGTATTTGGACTACAACATGCACACAAATAATTGCTCTACAGTTTAGCCTACATCTAGATTAGGCTATGAATAATAGCAATTGCGGACACGCCAAACCCCAAACATGAAGCAGCATCGCTACAACGCACAGCTCGTGCCCGAGCGCACATCGCTTGTCGGACCCTTCATTTTACCTGCAGAGCGGCGAGAAGCCCCAGCATCACGCCTCCCGAACGGTACATCGTTTAAATTCCGTCCTTTAAGAAGAAACCGATAGAGTTTGGCCGTTTCCCGCTGCGTTATAATGTTCCGTAAGGTAGCGGCGGCATGTAGCGACAGAATCTTTCCTCCGTCTCTCTCTGGCACTGATCCGTGCTGCTCTCGGTCTGGTACTGAACTGACGCTCCACTCGCTCGCGCACTTCTACGGTAGAGACGCGCGCTCTGTGGCTCCCTCTAGCTACGCTCAGTGGTACTGCGTCGGAGATGGGGCTCCTTTCCTTATGTCACCCCGTTCAGCCTCCGGAAGACACAGGGAAGAAGACAAGACCCCGCCTCCTTCACTACAACAAAAGGAAGATCTTCTTTTCTTTAACCCCACCCCAACCCCTTAATGCCTCCTAAACCGGCAAGAGGGACTGAGAATTCCTAGATTTAAAGTACATGTCTCCTGCTGGTGGGCTACTTTGAAAATCTAATGTTGTGGTAGTACTTCTAAGGCATTGTTAAAAAAAACCTCATGTAAGAGATAATGTACAGTTAGCATGTCATGACAGGACCCCTAAGAAGGGTAAAATTCTCAACAATAACTAACGATTAACTATGATTTTTGCCTCAAAAAATTTACAATTACTCCTTATTCATAGTTAGATGTCAAGTTTATGTATTGGGATTAAAGGTCATGCAGAATAAGCCATTAATATGTGCTTTATAAGTATATTAATGAGCAGTGAATAGCCACATGCTAATAGCAAAATAGTTAATGGAGAATTGGACCCTATTGCCACAATGACTGTAATCCTGAAACATTATTTGTTGAATCCGCAGAGATAGTAAACACTGGTTTTTGAGATGAATGGTCAGTTACACAGAATATTTGATCACTGAATGACCAATTAGAATCAAGTATTCTAGAGACCTGTGCAATAAATACTCACAAAGTAACTCAATGTAGGCCAATTTGGCTTTAGTTATGCCAGCAATCAGATGAGGAAAATTATGCCTGTTTTATGCAGTGAATCTTAAATAGTGTGAATTGACAATATAAATGGATTTTATGACAGTGCTGAAAGTTGACTAGGGGATTTGCTCAGGTGATGTCTTATTCTTCTGCCGTCTTGTGGGCATGACTGCGTCTCTAGTCGTGACAGGCAGGGACAGGGACAGGGAAACTGGCACTTGGAGTGCCTGTGACAGCAGCGGATGTCTATGGAGCAGATGTCCTGTGCGCTCTGAGAGAGTCTCCGGTCATCAGCTCGCACCACCATCTGCTCATCATTACCGGCCCGGCCGAAACACACAAACCAACCGTGGAGCCGCTGGTCTGTCTCAGTGACATCAGAGAGGTTGGCCTTGACAGAGAGTGAGAGAGATAAGCGATAAAGAGGGGGGAACGGTCGGGAACCCGTAGTACAAACATCATTTTTTAAAGGGATAGTTCAACCAAAAAATTAACACCGCACCATTTACATTTTCACCTACATGGGTTTTTAAAGAATATTGACTACTTTTATTTCACTTATATGGTGGATTTTGTTTTGTCACATTACATTGACAGCCCCCGTCCTCATTCACTTTCATTATGAAAAAGTAAAAATATGAACCTAAAAAGAGAGATTTGAATGACACAAAGGATTAAATGACAGAATTTTAAAAACATGCATCCACAAAGTCTATATCTTTTTACCTGGGAATTTCATCAAATTCGTATGTTTCAGGATTGTGTATTGTCTTTGGCACTCTCTAAATTGTATACAAACTGAACTTGACAAGTGATTCCTTGTGTTCTCAATATACTTCAGAAGGTTTCCAAAGTTCCCTGGATTGCAAACTAAATTATCTGTTGTACCTTCCTTCCATCTTATTAAGGTCCTGGAACTGCTTCATATATCCTTATATCATTCTATCAGCTTGTACAAATTTATACTAAAAAAAGCTAATAAGAAGTGCTATCTTGCAGAACTGGGCAAAATTCACTTTAAGAACAGGGTTCTATGCATATAATGAGTGTGAATTTGGATTCAAATGGTTTCAGTTCACAGGATGTTGTAACTGGAATTCAATACACAAAACATACAATCCTTAATTTACAAATGCAAATATTTACAAGTCTCTTCTGCTTGCCAAGGCTGCATTTATTTAATCGAAAGTACAGTAAAAACAGTATTATCGCAAAATATTAAAAATAACCGTTGTCTATATTTTAAATTGTGTTTGATTTCTGTGTTTCTTGAGCCCAAATAAGCATGAATGATTTCTGAAGGCTAATGTGAAACTGACTGTGTAGGCCTAATGATGCCAAAAATTCAGCTTTCTATCATAAGAATAACTTACATTTTTAAATTAATCAAAGAATAAAACAATTATTTTACTGTAAAATATATATATATATATATTTTCAAGATGTGTTATCACAACATTTTTTCTTTTGTCAAATCAACTTAAAAATAATTTATTTAGTTGAGATAACTTATTATTTTGAGTTATTGATGATTAAATTAATCTCCTTCATTGCATTAACTCACGTTTCCCAGTTCAATGAACTTAAAATTTTAAGGCAACCAGGTTACTTACTTTTTTAAGTTAAATCAACAATATTGTTTTACAGTGTATTTTATTATATTACTGTTTTTACTGTATCACTCTAAAAAAGGCTGGGATGTTTTAATCCAATTGTGGGTCAAATATGGACAAACTCAAACATTGGGTTAAAAATGTAATTTAAAAGTGTAACTCAATGGCTGGGTTTGTCCATATTCGACCCAAAAATTGGGTTAAAACAACTCAGTGTTTTTTTGATTAAATAAATGCAGCCTCTGTGAGCAGAAGAGACTTCTTTAAAAAAAACATTATTATAAGTCTCCAAACTTCTGACAGGTACTGTGTGTGTACGTGTGTGTGAAAAAAAATAGAAAGATAGAAAAAATAGGTTTGGTTCATAAAGATTTATTTTTTTAAAGCCGCAGCTTTAAACATATTTACCAAGGGGGCAAATAATTCAGAGCACCATTGTATATATCAAATTAAACTAAATTAAAGTTAATTTTTTTTTTATTTAAAGTATCAAGTTTTAGTTAAGATTCCATTTTAATTGCACTTGTTTAAATTCAATTTGCAATTGTGCATCGGTCCATCCTGTTCGTTTCAAATTCAGGAAGTGAACTGGAATTTAACATTCATTCTTAATTCAATTCTCATGCCATGCAATTCTACCTTGTGCCTTACTTGATCGTTATGGTAACAGCAATTCATTGAGGTTGAAATGTTGATTGGCCCATTACGATCAACTAATAGCAGCTATTACTTAATAGTCACACATATTTAGCTGCTTAATGAATTATTTGGGAGCAAATGGTCAGTGAGTTCCTCTCAAAATCTTTAGACACAGTCCACTACTCTTGCAATGCTAAAAGCATTATGGTCAGAACAGCACATTTTAGTCAACTAGCCATCGCTTCTCATGGGAGGCAGCTCCACATTTGAGCTTCAGACTCCCTGCAGATTCGAGAAATAATTTGTTTTCCTCCAGACTACATTTTCTAAGCTCTGAACCATATTTCAACCATACATGTTTTTCATGCCCTGACGTCCCTTTGAGTCACGAGTCATGCTGAATTGCAGCATCTGCTATATGAATAAAATGAAATTGTGCAGATATTACACTGTCCCAAAAGGATATATGGAGATTCAGTAATAAGTCTTCATATGGGCCAGAAGTGTTTCGAATCCAAGCATGACTGATGCAGGAGACATGCAGGAAACTGTAGCTCATTATTAATTTACTGCACAGTGATTGGCTTTTGAATGGGGACGCAAAGTCTCATTGGTCCACTGAGAGATGATATGGATCATGCATTAGAGTACTTTAACATTTATTATGGTTAAATGTTGCACTGAGAGTGTTTTTTTTTTTTTTTTGAGTTCATTGCTGATATGCTTATATGAGATGTGTTTTCCATATTCAGGTTATGTCATAGAGGACAGTCTTAAAGGGTTAGTTCACGCAAAATATAAATATTGTCATCATTACAGGCCTGGGGCCTGTACCATGATGGTAGTTGAACAAACTCAGGGTTGCAGGACTAGTTTCGAGTTGACAAAACCAAACCAATCCAACCAGGCTTTGTTGGTACCATGATGCTGATCATCAACTTTCTCTGTCAACTCAGGCTTTGATCCTGAGATAAGGAGTTTAGGTGTGACATCAGTAGCGAACAGCCAATCACATGCTGAAAAAGAGTGAAACTCATTCAAAACTCATTTAAATAAATTTCTCGCGAGAGAAGCAGAGCAATTCACGTATAAAATAAAAGTATTAAAATATTAAGAATTTAAACATATTTACACAGCAAGAAGAAAATAGCTGTCTATGAAAGAGGACAACTAAAAGAAAGTCTCGCTACTGTATATCAGTGCAAGAAAAAGTTGTGAAGTTAGTTTATGTTGATAAAGGTATAGAGAGAAATGAACATTTAAGCTCACATGTAGTCATTTTATAGCTTCATTTATTGATTCTAAAGCGTATTTATATTGCCTTTATATACGTATTCATTTAAAATCTGCGTAATAATAATTGATGAACTTAAATTAGATTGTTAAAGGATATAATAATTACAGAAATAATTTCTAAATCATACAAATTTATTTACTAAAAGCCATGATTTTGTCTTTTAAAATTATTTGCTGTGGAGTGACTTTATCGTGTCATACATGTGTCACTTTGCTCACAGCTGATTGGTCCAAGTTCGGTTTGCAACCTCTTACCTGGAACATAACCTGCCCCGGACCAGGTTAGCCGTGGAGTGTAAGTTACTATGGCGATGAACAGTGCTAAAAGCCTAACTAATTTCATGGTACCTAAAACCCAGGGTTGGCACAAACTAAACTGAAACATATCGGGCTAGCCACCTAAACCGGCTTCATGGGCCCCTGATATACTTAAAGTGAAACAACTCGTGTGATGTCAATGTGAACAAAAAGTTTATTTAGGAAGTTTTTGGATGGTTCAATCTACGTTTGTGACAATGATGTTAATTTCTCATGTTAAGTCCATTGAGCCAATCCGATCTCACGGGAATTCCAACCCGATCTCACGAGAATTTGTACGAATTTTACGAGGTGGCCAATTCGTAACAATTCATACGACCTCACTCGTACGAATTATCGTACATATTTTACGAATTGGCCA